TCAACCGCATAGGTCGACCGGTTTCCATGTGATCCGGTCGACCGCACAGGTCGACCAGTGGAATCAGCTGCGCGAGAGAAGCTCACGAAAATCAGTTCAAAACCTGCAAATCCAGTCCCAAATCGAGATTTTTCAAAGGGAAACCACTAGATCTGGGTTCTAGGTCCTAAAACAAGTCCAAAGAACCCAAGATCTCCAATTTCTACTCTAGTTTTACTCAAAAACCATCAAAATCCGGTTTGAACCAAAAATGGGTTTTGAAATCCGGAAATGTAAGATTCAAGAGAGGTTCTTTCAGTATTCTTACCTCGAATCCTTCTCTTGACGTTGAAAACTTCTTTAAATCTTTGCTTGGTTCAAGATCCGTTTGATTTGGGACAAAAATGAGAGAGAGAGAGTGAGAGAGAGCACGGGGAGAGTGAGAGAGAGAGTGAGGGAGAGAGGCGCACGGGAAAGGAAGAGAAAAGAAAAGAAAAGGAAAAGGAAAAAGGAAAGGAAAAGGGCATGTGTACAATATTTTAAAAGAACAGTCTAGAAATGCGCCCCACTTCTGGGTTAAAATAAATTACTGAGAATAATTTAAATACCTTGGAACTATTTAAACTCACACGTGTCAGAAACATTTATTAATTAAACTCAATTAATAATCCAGATTGGGCACACTAATAATCTTAATTACCTTAATTAATCTCAATTAATTCTTCAGGGCGTTACAGCTCCACCCCCCTTAGGCAATTTCATCCCCGAAATTAAAGCCTACCTCACAGTGTGAACATATGCGAATAGTGCTCCTGCATCGTCGTTTCAAGCTCCCATGTTGCTTCCTCAATTCCATGGTGCTGCCATAATACTTTTACTAGAGGAATCTCACGATGACGCAGACTCTTTATTTTTCGGTCAAGAATCTGAACTGGTACCTCCTCATACGACGCGTCATACTGTATCGGAACATCAAACCACTGCACTACGGCTTCTGGCTCAGGTTGACATTTTCGAAGCATGGAGACATGAAACACGTCATGCACGTGAGATAATTCAAGCGGTAAAGCCAATCGGTAAGCCACCACTCCGATGCGTTGCACAATCAGGAATGGTCCCACATACCTTGGTGCAAGTTTCCCTTTCACACCAAACCAAACGACTCCCTTGCGTGGGGAAACCTTTAGCAAGACAAAGTCGCCCTCTTGGAATTCCAAAGGCCTACGCCTTCTGTCAGCATAACTTTTTTGACGACTTTGAGCTGTCAACAATAGTTCTCGAATCACAGCTATCTTCTCATTATTCTCTTGAATGACTTCCGGCCCAGTGCTCAGTCGATCCTCTGGTCCCCACCAACACACAGGTGACCTACAAGGACGACCATACAGAGCTTCAAACGGTGTCATTCCAATACTGGCCTGATAGCTGTTGTTATAAGCAAACTCAGCTAGATGCAGGTATTTCTTCCAGTTCCCACCAAATTCCAGAATACAAGCACGAAGCATATCCTCCAGAATCTGAATTACCCTTTCAGATTGCCCATCAGTCTGAGGATGAAATGCTGTGCTGAAATTCAAGTCTGTTCCTATGGCTTCCTAGAAACTCCTCCAATACCTTGCATTAAAGCGCGTGTCACGATCTAACGTGATAGACAGTGGCACTCCGTGTAGCCTTACGATGTGCTCCAGGTACAATTTTGATAGAATCTTCCGAGAATACGTCGCATAGAACGGCATGAAATGCACGGACTTCGTCAACCTATCCACCACCACCCAGATGGCATCGTGCTTCAGCTCGGTTCTCGGTAGCCCCATCAGAAAATCCATAGTGATGTGCTCCCATTTCCATCCAGGGACAGGAAGAGGTTGTAACTCTCCTGCCGGCTTCCGATGCTCAGCTTTAATTCGGAGGCAAGTCACACATTCTGAGACATACTCACGAACGTCTCTTTTCATGCCTCTCCACTAGTACTGTCTTTTCAGGTCCAGGTACATCTTTGTACTTCCCGGATGTATGGCATACCTCGATTTGTGTGCCTTTTGCAGAATCGTCTTCTTTACCTCACCTGCCTTGGGAACAA